AATTCTCAAACCTCAAGGCCCATAGCAAAAATAACATCTATATTCAATATTTCAAAATTATTTCTCAGACCTATGGAATGAAGTCACAATGACACAATGGCTGGGGTTGGAAGGGACCTCTGGAGATTATGTAGTCCAACCCCCCCGCTAAAGTAGGTTCGCCTAAAGCAGGATCATGTCCCATTGGGTTTTGAATGTCTCCACAGAGCTGCTTTCCAGCAGGTCAGACCCTAACCTGTACTGGTGCATGGGGTTTTTCCCCCCCAGGTGCAGGACCCTGCACTTGCCTTTGTTGAACTTCTTTAGACTCCTCTCTGCCCAACTCTCCAGCCTGTCCAAGTCTCCCTGAAAGGCAGCACAGTCTTTGGGTGTACCAGCCACTCCCTCCAGTCTTTTATCATCAGCAAACTTCCTGAGGGTGCACTCTGTGCCTTCATCCAGGTCACAGTTGAACAAGACTGGACCCAGTACTGACCCCCAGGGAACACTGCTGGCTACAGACCTGCAGCTAGACTCTGTGCCATGGATCACAGTCCTTTGAGCTCTGCTACTGAGCCAGTTCTCAATCCATGTCATTGTTCACTCATCCAACCCATGCTTTCTGATCTTACCTATGACAGTGTTATGGGAGACAGTGATAAAAGCCTTGCTGAAGTCAAGGACAACAACATCCACTTCTCTCTCCTCATCCACCTGGACAGTCATGCATCATAGAAGGTTATCAGACTGGTCCAGTATGATTTCCTCCTTGTTTAATCAGTGTTGACTACTCCTGATAACCTTCTTTTGTTCCCTATCCTTAGAGGTGATATCCAGAATGAGCTGTTCCACCACCTTTCCAGGGACAGAGGTGAGACTGAGTGGCCTGTAGCATTTTGGGTCCTCCATGTTGCCCTTTTGGAAGACTGGAGTGACACTGGTTTTCCTCCACACACACCTCTCCTGTTCTCCATGACCCTTCAAAGATTGAGATTAGCCTGGAGAAGAGGAGGTTCAGGGGAGACCTCATCACTCTCTACGACTACCTGAAAGGAGGTCATAGCCAGGTGGGAGTTGGTCTCTTCTCCCAGGCAGCTATCAGTAAGACAAGAGGGCATGGTCTTAAGCTCTGCCAGGGGAGGTTTAGGTTGGATATTAGGAAGAAATTCTTTACAGAGAGGGTAATCAGTCATTGGAATGGGCTACCCAGGGAAGTGGTGGGTTCTCCATCCCTGGAGATTTTTAAGATGAGAGTGGATGTGGCACTTAGTGCCATGGTCTAGTAATCATGGAGGTGTTGGATCAAGGGTTGGACTTGACGATCTTGGAGGTCCTTTCCAACCTGTCTGATTCTATGATTCTATGATCTGCCAGCTCCCTCAGCACTCACGGTTGCATCTCATTGAGGTCTATGGCTTTGTGGATGTCAAGTTTGCCTAAATAACCTCTAACCTGATACTCCTTTACCAACGAAAAATCTTCCTTTCTCCAGACTTTCTCTTGATTCCAGGGTCTGGAATTGACGAGGGTTGACTTTTGCAGTAAAGACTGTAGCAAAAAATCATTCAGTAACTGCATCTTCTCTGTATCCTCCATCATCAGGGCACTCATTTCACTCTAAAACATCTAGGATTTATTGTAGGTGAAAAGGTACATTTATTGCCACACCTTCCCATGTTATGAATAGTAATAAAGCTTTTAAGCACTGAGTAGAGTACTAATACTGATAGTGAAAGCAAGGTGGACACTCTTAAAACAGTGTTCTGAAAACTATAGCAACTGCTCTTCTTAATAACCAGGGATTTTTATTTTTTTTTACAATTTTTAGGGTTACAATAAGGCCACATCCTTGCTTTGCATTGCTGTATGTTAGATTTATTGGATGTTATATACAAATACAACAAAACAGAACAAAAACTATTCTACTTACATAAGTTCATCACCCATTACAAAGGAAAGGAAAAAAATATTGAATGTTTCAAAATTAAATTGCTGACAGGTACTTTAATTAGATTTAATGAAATAAAGGTTGAATTGAATAAAAAGATGAAGCTCCAATAAAGTATTCTATGTTTTTGCTGATTAGAAACTAGTTTATAAGCCAAACAAAAGAAAACTACATGAAATTACATAAAATTTTCTTTAATAAGCCAATAAAGGAATCTTCTCTTTCAACAAAGCATTAAAAAATAGGGCTAGAAGACTTGAACATCTGGTCCCTCTTACAGTAACCATAAACAAGGTTATTTTCATGAAATTAGGTTGCTCAGAGAGGTTGTAGAGGCTCCGTCCATGGAAGTGTTCAAGGCCAGGTTGGATGGGGCTTCGAGCAACCTGGTTTAGTGGAAGGTGTCCCAGACCATGGCAGGAGAATTAGAATTAGGTGATCTCTAAGGTCCCTTCCAACCCAGGCCATTCTATGATTCTATGAAATAATCCAGGCCCTTCTTAAAATCAGTTAAGTGACCTGTACTCCCTTCTCAGATGTCCTATTTTATCTATATTCTTCTTCCCTGATTCTGAACTGTCTACAACAGCATTAATGGTCATATCCAATTCTCTTACAAGATTAAATATAAAACTTTAAAATTATACTGTCTATATGCAGTATTTTTCTTATTAATATTGGTGCCTCCTAGCAGCTTTTTTCTTTCCTCAATGGTATTGCTTTTATTTACTTCTATATTCACATTTATCTATCTTTTCTTTTACCATTCACAGCTTCTTTCTCTCCATTCCTTAGGTTAAAGTTCTTCTGATCTCAATTTCCCAAACACTAGTTTGGAAACCTCAACCTCAGAATTACTCACAAGGACAACAAGAAGACTCCTCATTCAACGAATGGGAGGATCAGACATCCTCCATCTTTCTCATTGTAGCAGTTCTGTGTCCTCCAAGCACCCTTACCAGCACCACCCATTGCAGAGGAAATCTATATTCTCCCTCAAAAATGCGTTAGTGATATGAGCTATGGCTTCTGTTTGCTGAAAGTAGGTCTGAGATCAAATTCCTCTCTGAAACCATCTCCAGGCTAGGGTAGGGACAAGAGCAGCTCAGTGTTAAGGATAGCGCAGCAGTTTAGGTTACTCCAGAAGTGCAGGATGGAAACCCACAGAGAGTCACCATAAAAATTCTTATAGACTTGTATGAATAATGACAGTATGAAAATTAAGGATTTTAATGTTTGAACTGACATTTTATTTTTCCAGACTTGTTCTCTCATGTGCTGGAGGCAAGCTAGATTTGCTGAGCTGATGAGGTTCCCTGAATTCTCACTGGTCTACCTGAATTTGGGGTTTTGTTTCTCTGAGTCAGTACAAGGCTTCTTTTCATGCCAAAGAAACTGAATCAGCACCATAGAAAGAATATTATTTATCAATCCAGAAATAGTTATAAAGACCTGAAATAGATTCAACCATTCAATGAAACATAAAGTCATACAGATAAAAAAGCAAGGAAGCTATGACTGGCAGAGCAGATTGTGCTGGCAAGAAAGTCACTGATACAAGACCAAAGGACAGTCAGTGGAGGGGAGAGTTTTGATTGAATATCTGCTTAGTAATTTTGAATTAGTACTTAGATTTTGAGATATACAGCAATATTCTGAAGGAGGCTTAGAACTATGCTGTTATCCTGACGTCTTCTGGAGCAGACAGTAATCTGAATTAATTAATACCAATCTACTTTTAATAGAGTGTTCCTGAGCCACATTTCAGTAACAAATGTTACACAGCAGAAGATAAAACATAGCCCTATCTGATATATGTGGAGCCTCAGCTGTACATATTTGACCCCTATTTTACACAGTTGCAGCTCATTGATTCTCTCTTTTAAACTCCTGGACTGAGCATTCAGCAATCATTGGACCACCCATACATCTTCTGAGCTGATTTAGTCTATGAACTGTAACCCTGCTACAGGGCTGTAATGTTTCTGGCACCTACAATGCTGGCTGCTTGTCATTATGACATATAACCTAGAAGATGTACTTAAGAACAAATAACCTCAGAAGTGTTAACATGCCATCAGTCTTTTCAGCTAAAGCAAAGACAGGGCCTGGGACTATCCAAAAATGAATAAATGAGCAAATTCACATACTATCCCGAAGTTCAGGTTTGGAACGAAAAGTGTCAGACAAAGAAAGAAACCTAGACAAGATCTTAATGACTAAAAAACCTCATTCATTTTACCTGATGAAAGGCTGCAAAGTTACACAAGCCATTTTTCTTGGTTTTACTTGAAGATATATATTCTTTTACATAAAATGTTCTGCAATTTTGGCATGAATCTGGTGATGGAAAAACTTAAATTATAAATATTTTCCTTTTCCAAGGTTTATTAAAATGCCAGTATGAACATAGACCGTTTGAAATAGAGAATCCTAATTTAATATAATAGAGCTTTTTAAAAGGTCAGGCAGAACATTTTACACTGAAAATTAAAATATAGATGGCACTAAAGTTGGAGTTACTGTTTATCCCACTTCAGTCCTGTTCTTAATGAAATTCATTGAATTTTTTATAACACATCAAAAAGTCAACATGAAACAGTTCACAGAGTATTAAATATATCAACAATATAAAGCTTGGTCAGATAATGGCAGTATTAAACAAAGACGAAAGGTAACAATACTGGCTTCAATTAACGTAGTGAATTAATGAATGATCTCTATTACTCTACTCATGTTCATTAAACAAGTATAATGGGCTTCTGAATTGTCCAGGTGAACCTAGGGAGTCTATTCAATCAAAATTACCTATGCTTACTGTCAATCCCTTGCTGATTATTCATTGTCAGAGGCATATGTAACTAGCCCTTTGGCATTTCCAGTCGCTGAGAACTCAGGCATGCAGTATTACCAGGGTTGTGTCTGTGAACACAAACTCCTCAGACTGAATAACCCCCATTTTATAGAGTTGTGTGTGTGTGTATTTGCATACATAAATAATGCACTGGTCCTTATTAGTTGCCTGTACTGCAATTTTTCACCTATGTACTCTTTCCATCTTTTAAAACAGAAGCATGTGGACTCCCAAAGGGAGTAACAGTGGTGGTCTTAAAGATGAAACAGCTTCTTTTACTTCAAGTAAGCTCTTCCTAGAGAAAGCAAGATGGAAGGAGGATTTGGACAAAACTGCACCGTTCTGAGTTGGCAGCATCACAATAGAGGTGTGCCAGCAGTTGTCAATGCCTGCTAGAACTACAAGCAACTACTTGGAAAGGAAGGGACTGCTGCTTATTTAAAATATGTTTTCTTAAAGGAAGCATCACTGTTTTGCTCATGTTTATCCAACTGGTTTATCACAAGCCATAGAAGCAGGATCATTTTGCTTTGCTTTCATTTCTTGAGCTAGGTTCAGCCCTTAACCTTCTTATGTTTTTCTTGCTGTTTTCAAGCTCAAAACAATAAATCTTTCTCAATAGCTTATACAAGACAGCCCTGCGGTTTTCTTTAAACATAGTACATTATTTTTGTGCTATTTTATGACAGAAGTATTAGAATGAGGTAAAAGCACTAAACTCATGTTAAATGTTTCTGCAGGAAAGATGGTTGCATTTATTAGGATTAATAGACTACTTATACTGCAAACTAAAATCCTCTTTTTATTCACATGCAATATAGCGTGCAGGTAACCAAAATCCAATCTTCTTAATCCTCAGTGAAGCAGCTTTTTCCCTGACTTCAGCGACAGTTCAATTTCTGTTATGCTAACCATATGCTCCTGATTGATTATCAGTTATATTTAATTATTCAGAGTTACAGATGGCAGTTTTGTGAGGCAAACTACTGATCTCTGGAGGCCCTGTGTGCTGATGCCTCTGTCTCTGCAGTTACAACTCTTGAGTCCCTGAGGTTGAGAAAAACAGGTAATTTAACCACTTCTGTAAGCTGTATTGGCCTATTCAATCAGGAGAGAATGAAAAGATCCTGATACTAAGCTAGTAGACTAAATCCATAGAGATGGAAGAGAGGATATTAAGATAAATGCTCTGAAAGAACCTGTGTTGCCAGTAATTAATGCCAGTCTTTCTGCTTATCCATTGAAAGAAATGTTTCAGTTGTGCAACATTTTTTTCCTCCACCAAGTTTTTCCCATTCTCCACATTTAAAGGGTATTTCTACTATAGTAGGGAAGCATGTCCTTGCTTCAATACCAGTAGGACCTTAGTTCTAGACTCTCTGAGATCCTGCTGTCATCTGTTGAAATCCCAGTGTGAAGTACAGAGCAATATGTAGTGGGCAAAGCAGGAGGGTTGGAGTCATTTGTACCAGAGTGGAAAGTACATAGACAGAAAACAGAAGAAAATATTTCATTTTTGCTTCTCTGCATGTTAGTAGTTAAAAAAATATAAATTTCAAAAAAAAAAAAAATCCCCCCTTGTGAATTTTTTGGTGATCAGTACCACAGGGACAGTGAGAGAAAATCCACCAGCTTTTTTTTTTTTTCACTCTGCTTTCTTGACAGAGGTTTTTTGTTTTCAATTCACCTGATAGTGCAGTCCCAGCAGAATGCACCTAACAAATCATAGTGAGTGTCTGCACCTTGCTATGTATCAAAGTCCCTTAATGTGCCAACAAAGTTCTTCAAGGTCAGAAAAGCAGTTTATCAACCTCTTATATCTCTTATAGGAGACAATAAATTTATTCTACTGTTGGAATCTATGAATAATTCAGATGCTCTGTGAGATAAACACTATTGCTTAGGATGCTCTGCATGTCATTGTCAACTAGTACCAAACACTGTCATTGCTCCATGTACTCTGTACTTTTTAGCTTTCTCTCAGCTCAGGAAAATGCAATGCGGTATGGCTTGCATTTTTCTGTGTCCTTTAGCTCTTTAAAGTTTGCTTTATCCTATTACATCTTTCCATTACCAAACAGGTTGAGACAATTAATGTTCGGAACAACTGCTTGTTCCCTTCTGTCTTAATTTCCAAGCAGTCTAAAAATTTACTTCAGAAATACAAAAACGGTTGTCTTTTGAAGGGCTCTGCATTCCTTGTTCCTACTAACAGAGAAAACAAAATATCTTTCTTGACTAATTTTATGGCGATCAGGGAAATCTGGGATACTTCCTGTTTCTATTCAGCTTAAGAAAATGTGTATGATTCAATATATACATAAGTCTAGCTAATCTTATAAGAGCTTTATGGAGCCCTTTAAAATATCTAATTAAATATTTAATTCACTTATTACTAAGTCATTCTGAGTTTTATCCCATTTTAAGACAAGTACTGCCCTAGTAAGCCAAATTAAAATTCATTGGTATGATCTATGAGACAAAGAATAAGAAAAAAAAAAAGGATTTTTTTTTTAACTAACAGGACTTATAAAGCCAAATATGGTATTGGACTCCTTCTTGTACCTTCTCCTTGCTTAACCTTCATATAGAAGTAGAACTAATACACAAGTAGTTAACTATGCTGAAATTATAGATTTTTCTGCAACGTCTCAGTGTCTATATTTATGAATAACCAAGAGACCTTAACCATCATTTTGAAACTTTAGTTGATAGAGACATTTGCCTTTTAAACTTGGTAAAGTAATGGAGAGTTACACATTTATAGACACGGCAATTGGAACCTGAATATGGACGTGAGTCCATATTTACAGAGAATAACAACTCCCAAAATTCGGTGTATGATCTACCCTGTATTCCACCATACTTTTAAACAAACAGCCCCATAACACCTGAAATTACATCTTTCCACAGTAACTTAATGTTAACACCCGCTTTAAAAGCCTACGTCTCGTAATTATGGTAGTTAGCTTTGTATTAGAAAATGTGAATATGCCCAGTTTTATCTCCTGTGAGGTAAATGTGGTTACACTGGTGAGAAGCTCCTAACAGAACACATAGATATTTTAAATAAAACAAGTAGATATGCATAAGTAGTTCTACAAACTGAAATAAGTTTATATCTCCTCTGATTACTTTTTAAAAAGCAATTATATTAATGGCAGCTTTCCAGTAAAAGTAATCTAGTAAAAAATCTCAAAATTGAAAGAATAAAAGGAATTATTTGTCCTCAAAATGATAAAATTAAAAGGAAGAATTATTTTAGCTTTCCCTAAATGACTTCACTGATGACACATTGCTTTGTGCAGCAATTCTCATTAAATCATTGCCAATTTAGTAGATTTTTTTTCAGTAATAACAAAGCTATAAAAGGCAGAGGAATTGCTTTAATTTGGTAGATTTTCTAGTCATTCCAATGTTTATGTGATGTAAAGCCTTTTTTAAAGGAGTTTGTTTATTTGTTTCTTTGCCTGCTTAGTGCCATCAGATTCATAAAAAAAGAACTGGTCTCTGTTGCATAGTTAAATTGAATCAAATCGTTTGAGATTTTTTTCCCTGGACTGAACATATGGATGTAGGATAAACATCTTGTCAAGTCCATAGTATATGAGCTGGCAGTGTGCTCTTTGGCCAGGAGGGCCAATAGTGTCCTCGGGTGCATCGGGAACAATGTGGCCAGTGGGTCAGGGGAGGTGATCCTCCCCTGCTACGCAGCTTTGGTGAGGCCACATCTGGAATGCTGTGTCTTGTTCTGGACTCCTCAGTACAAGAGAGACAAGGAGCTACTGAAGAAGGTCCACCAGAGGGCCACGAAGATGATTAAGGGACTGGAGCAACTCTCTTGTGGGAAGAGACTGAGGGAGCTGGGCCTGTTTAGTCTGGGGAAGAGAAGACTGAGAGAGGATCTCACTAATTCATATAAATATCTCAAAGGTGGGTGCCAAGAGGATGGTGCCAGATCCTTTTTGGTGGTGCCCAGTGACAGGATGAGTAGCAATGGCCAAAAACAAAAACACAAGTTGCACCTCAACATCAGGAAGAGCTGCCTTATGTTGAGGGTGGCAGAGCACTGGAACAGGCTGCCCATGGAGGTCACAGAGTCTCCCTCTCTGGAGACATTAAAAACCCACCTGGACGTGTTCCTATGTAACCTGCTCTTGGTGACCCTGCCTTGGCAGGGGGGTTGGACTAGATAATCCAGAGGTCCCTTCCAACCCTAACTATTCTGTGATTCTGTGACTCATTTCAAATGCTGCTTTTAAACAGTTATAAGAAAAAAAGAAATAGTCTTTATGTGGTTTACAGAGGTTTAGTGTTTGATGCTTGCATTAAGTGCTAGATAAAAAAATGAAAGGTAGTTATCTAGATTAGATTTTCTTCTTTGCTTCTAGAGAAAAATTTAAAAGCCTTATTAACTATGTAACATTTAACCTATGTGAATAAAAGCTTTTCTTATTCTATCCTAAATGCTTCTCTTATTCTAGCTTAAATTGCTTTTCTACATAAAATTCCCTTAGAAATTAATCATATTTTTTTGAGTTGATTGAAAATACTTGATTTTTCTTTAAACAAAATGGTTTAAAGTAAACAAAAATGTTTGTTTAATTTAAAATAAATAATACAGGTTTTGTTTGGGGTTTTTTTTTCTGAAATAAGCACAGATCATATCCAGAATTTTTTGTATGCATTTGAAGGATTTGGGTCTCAAAATGAACAATTTAATGTTAGTTGAAATATTCTACTAGAAAATATTAAGATTTTCCTTAAAAGAAATCCCACAAGTTGTTTTGATTATACTTTTTCATCTATAATATACGTACTGTGCTAGTAATCTGAAAAATCATCACTAAACCTCACAAATTCAGATAATTTCTGAGCAATATCAATTTAAACTAATAGTGTGTTTTCATAAATATTCCACTGGAATGAAAAAAAATTACAAAATGTTTAGTGAAAGAATCTGAGGAGATGAAGTCCAGCCTTAGATTTCTGGGACAGTGACTTCAAGGCACTTCTAATTTATAGTTTAACAGTCTAGTCTCTGCTTGCTGGCAGCTGCTTCTTTTCACCATCCCCTCTTAGGCCTTTTTTAGTTATAAGGACTAAAAGAGGTAGGTGAGAAACCCTTGGAGCAGTAGCTTCCAGTCAACCCGTGTGAAGTCCAGTATACACTCTAAGTGAGGTGGGACATATATCAAGAATCAGAATAAAATCCTTTCTGCTTCTTATTCCGTAAGGAAATTTTTTTCTTTTTTTTTCTCCCCAGTAAAAATGCCCTTTTATTTACTGCAGTGAGAGAATACCTACACATGCTCTAGATTTAACAGGTCTGAAAGATTCTCTGCCAACCTTTCCTATGGTGCATTTCAGATGGTAACCTCAGTATGCTTCTGGGTGCATTTTTTGCCTTCCTCAGACTGGTGTAGTCCTTGAGCTACAGTAAACTTATGGACAGTGATTTATTACCTGTACTTTGTTGATGGACCTAGGACAGGTTTTATATTTGCTGCAA